AAGAGTTCTCGGGAGAGACAGAAGTGCAAGAGAGGGTTGGACAGGAAATATATATATATATATATATATAGTATCTTTTTTTTGAGCCATACCCATTCCAAGACGAGTCTCCAAGAGGTTGAGACCCATTATTTTTTCACACAAACAACTCTTTTACATTATTTATTTATTTATATTTGTCGGGGGGTAGGCCGTAGAGGGAGGTAGGTTAGCAAGGTAGGTAGCTAGTAGAAGAGGTAGCTAGTACCTTACGCTTCTTCAAAGAAGCTCCCCCCACCTAAGGGCACGGCGAGCTTCCTTGAAGAAGTGCTAGTACTATTCATTTGGTTCCTAGACTTTTAGGATAATTTGGCAGTTTTCACTTTGGACAGGGGATGAGAAGATGGACGACAACTTGCCCCCAAAACCAAGAAACCAGCTTCCTGGCCCGGAGCCCGCCACACAGCCCGCATCTCCCGGTCGGCGTTGAACGGCACGATGCCGTAAGGAATGATCCGGTGCCCTACGGCGATGGGCCAGCGTCTGGGCGTTGACGGGTGGTCCTTAGTGGTATGTGGTGGTCATTTGTGAGGAACAGTGGACTTCTCTACCTGGACATGTAGACAATTCGTTGAGGTTGCTCAGGTTCAGGAACAGCTGGTTCAATTTGGGATGTCGATGCAAATGATGCAAAACTCCTAAGGAGTATTGGGATCTGAGATACAAAGTGGATCCAGAGCCCTTCGAATGGCTTCGAAATTACAAAGACCTTGGAGCTTTCTTGAGCTGTGAGAAATCCGCTGGTGACCTGGCCAACAAAGGAGAACCTGTCGAGGATACAGCACACACGTCATTAAAAAAAATAGCATCAAAGAGGTTCCTTGATTGTTGTCTTCTCAACCGAGACACAAGTAAGTTGCCCCTCATTACCATCAGTAGCGTGAACGCTCAATCGACCAAAGTTGCTGATGGGCCCGTTCTTCATGGGACGCTACTAGTAGCAAGGTGCCATGCTACTAGTAGCTTGTTACTACTAGTAGGGCACCTTACCACTAGTAGCTATTTGCCACTCGAGAGTGCGCATCCCCACACAGATTTTCAACGACAACGTTCAAGACGTACAAGACTGTGAATCCACGGATGATGATGCAAAACTGTCTTCGTTTTTGAAGAGATCTGACGATTTTGACTCATCATGCCCAGCCAAGATATCCTTCATGTGGGCTGTGGCAATAGCCTCATCACTGAGCAGATGTGTCTCGGCAAAGTTATATAGTGTCTTTTCCCGATCAGGTGTGTGGAGCTTGTGCGTTGAAGAGAGTTGTTAGCGTGTCAACTCCTTGGAGCTTCCTGAGAGCTTCTTTTTGTTGGCCCGCTCCCCTCCGTACCTCTGTACTAGGAACAAGTGCATCGCTACTAGGAACAAGTGCATTACTACTAGTAGCAACTAGCTACTACGATGATGACTACAGTCGTTGCAAGGTACGATGATGGCTACCAGAACATCATAAATATCGACACTTCCCCTGTGGTAATCACGCAAATGATGGAGCGGAACTTTGGAAGGCGCACAACCGCATAGGTTAACACCTCTCTAGTTACTCTAGTAGTTCAAAAGCCTATCACATAAATAGTAGCATCATTCAGTCGTTTTATTGATGGTTCACAATGATTTGGGCATGAGTTTTCTGCATATGAAGCACTTCCATCCATCTCCGCCAGACCAAAGATGATTTGGCTGGAAATGGATGCACTCGATCCTTGTCACAACACTTGATTTGTCTCGTCGCAAAGGGCCCAGGTCAGCTTGACTGCAGTTTCACTCACTAGATTCATCGGCGTACGACTGATGAAGTGTTAAACCGACTGCTTGGATATTTGGTGAAAGCGACCGACACTTCAAACAAATTGTACATGTAGATACTCACTCTCCCACCCTTTCCTCATGTCCTGATTGTGTTAGGGGCCTGACTCAGGACATGTCCTTGCCTGACAATGCATTTGATCTCATCATCGACAAGAGCCTCATGGACACCTTTGCTTGCTCTGAGGCCGGCACAGGGCGAGCCGAGGCTTCAGAGAGTGGGGCAGCAGTTGATTTGGTCAACACGACGAGCATTGCCATCCGGATGTTTAGTGTTCTTCATTGCACAAGTGCCACCAGAATAGGGCAGCCTTCGTTCGTTCGTGGTTCAGCTTGACTTGTTGACTTCATTCTGCAATCTGCTGCTCTATGATGCTATATGCAGCTATGTGCCATACATTGTCCTGTTTTTCTCCCACTGGTATTTGTTCGGTTACTCTCGCTCAGACTCAAAGCATTTTTGCCGGTTTTCGGAGTGCTAGGAGTTGGCCGTGACCATCATCACTTATCTCATGGAGGCACCAGCACTCGCTTCCGCTTTGATAGGGCACACCAGAAGATACCAGAAGCTGCTGAGAGAAGTGAGGGGTTTGCTGGTCTGGGAGTCTCAACGCCAAGTTTTGGTGCTGGACTATACACTTGTTGGTTACCCAGATGAGTGTTTTCTGTTTCAGAACATTTCAGAGCACTTTGCGTTGGAAGCATCTTGACTTGTTGCTGTCTGAATACAAAGTGTTCCCATTCAGAATCGTTTTATTTGTGCTCATCTCTCCTGATTTTCTTGTTCTCATCCCATCTCATCTCTTGCCATATCTTTTGCGTCAATACTTCGCTGCGTGTGATACTTATTTGCAAGTGGTAGTCCTCTTTGTTCATCTAGATAAGGGGCTCAAACAGGGACACCAGGGTTCTGCGCCACCATGACCCTCCCAGAATCCCAACATCGCCCGCTGTGCACTGATCTCTCAGTTCAACCCCTCTTCTTTGGCATTTTGCACATCCCCCTTTGGCGAGGTGAGCCGCGTGCTGCGGACTGGTGGGGTGCTGCTGGTGATCTCCTACGGGGCCCCAGAGACACGACTCGACGCTTGGAGAGGGAAGCCGGAAGCGGCGTCGTCGGGCGTGCAAGGGGATTCTGGAGATGGGGGCATGCCACCTATCAGATGGGGCAAACTCTGCCAGGACATGCCACATGCCACCTATCAGATGGGGCGGTAGCTGGAGCCGAAAAGGGTGCTTCATCTCATGAGTCCGATATCTAAATCTTTTTGATTGAGATGTGTGAACATGCTTTCGTTTTTCAACCAACTTCAGGATTTTGACTGCGAGTGACGTGTTTCATCGGTTTGATAGCCGTGCAAAAACAAACTGTGTTGTTTGAGCTGACAGCTTTTGGTGTGCCATGAAGATGATGTTACAGTACTTTTTAAATCACAGATTGGTTTAGTACAGACTTCCTGGTGATGATTCTCAAAGCATGTGCTCTTGCAAAGAGGAGGGTCCAATTTCCCATTTCCCATTTCCAAGTTTCCCAGCGCACGGCTTCAGTAGTTGGCCAGCTAAGGACTTCCTGAAGATGTCACACCTGAAGTTTGAGGTGGTCAAGGGATGTATACGTCGGTTACTGGGCCAGTCTGGAAAGACCTTGGGGACTAGCAATCACATATATTCCAAAGGCTTTGGCAGCGCTAGCCACTGTCAATGAGATTGCTCGAGATGTGATGTTCCCTCCTCCAGCAATCCGAAACACCTAATGTCTTTACATTGGTGGTGCTCATTTGACCGCTGCTGTTGGAGGGGTTTTCCGGGCGGACCTTTTTCTTTCGCAAGGTGGAGGTGGTGACACTGGAAGCCACAGACATGCAAAAGGAGCACTATTTGTACAGATGTACCAAGCAGCCGCATGTGAAGAAGCGGCGCGCAGCAGGCTAAAAGAGGCAGAATCTTTCACCGTGGTGATTGAAGCAAGTTCTCAGAGCAAACTCCCTTGCTTGGTGCTCATCCCCTTCTCATCCTCAGTAGCGCAGCAACTCATACGACCAGGATCATACCGAATCATACCTGTCGACTGGTTCAGTGTTTTTCAAGTCGCATTTTGCTTGATCTATTCCCTGGAGCTCATCACTTGATGAGAGGCTCATGGGAAGAAAGCGGGAGTCCATCGGAGATTGCTTGGCTTCTTCGGACGGGGCTTGGAATCGGAACCATCACCAGGCATCCTCAGGGTTGAAGTCTATGAGCACACCCCAAGTAGGTCTTCTATTACGCCCTCTTCTGAATGTGTTTGTTGGTCAATCTTTGGGTCCTTGATCATCCAGATCATCGATTTTTTCGACCACCCAGGGGGCAGGAATCACCCGGCCAAGAAACCTCATTTTGGGGTTGCCGCGATTCCGCGCTTTCGACCCGCTTCTTTGGCTCGGAAAAAGCTGGGAGAAGTAGGGCCCCCACTCCTGGGAGTGGCGGTTGGGGCACCCAGACTTGGGATTTGTGACCGTCCTTCAATCGGATCAACCGATTGGGACTTCTGGACAGGTAGGTGTAATTGTATAGCTTGCAAAGCTGCATGGTAGGTGTAGGCCATCCAAGCTGCGAGGCAAAAAGCAAACATGGACGAGGAGCTCCAGGAGGCAGGGCTAGGTCTTGTTCTTTTGCTCTTCATCTGTTTTGTGTCCTTTTTTATTCCAACTCGGGTTTGGGGCTCCTTGCTTCCTGCAACAAGCAGAGCGACAGTGTGACGTTTTTTGCTTTTCTTGCTTGGCTGTCGAACATTTTTTAACTGACTCGTGAAATGGACCAGGTGCGAGACAACTTCTATGTTGGGAACTTCAACAAGGACTCGACATGGGATGATGATGGTAAAAATGCTTGGGTGCAAAAACCATACAGGTAGCCGCCAAGGGCACCTCCATTGGCTCTCACTCAGTCGTCACTTAGACAGCCCAGCTGGCTTTGAGTCGAGCCGAGAGGCTTTCGCATAGAAGGAGGCTTCTAGCACCAATCCGTCAATAGGGGTGTGTCTTCAACATGTGCCCATGGGTACATGTCTCAAACCCAGATGTGAACTGTCATGCTACTCTTTGTTCGAGAGCAGCATCTGCAACTTCAGACATATCTTCCACAATTAGACTGGAGGTCGTTTGACCTTGCCCCCAGGATTTGTATGTTTTTTTTTTTCCAAGTTCTCTCCTCTTCCTCTGTTCTCTGGATTGGAACTTTCCTTCCAGTCTTTCTGGGCATCTCCTTGCCGTGGCCAGTCTCCCGAAGCCGTGCGAAGGCCTTGAGTCTCTGCGAGTCTGTGAAAGGCTCTAGCGAACTCACGCAGAGCGAGCCGTCATCTGAGCACCGATCGACGATGTCTCGATTTTTTGGGGCAGATTGGCGGTCCTGGATGAAGAATTGAAGATCCTGGGCGATGCAACTCGTCAAGGGCAAGCAAATCAAGAAATGAAGATGCTTTGCCCTGAGGCTTGGGGCGACCCTGGCCCGCTGCTGCCTCTCCATCCCGCAGATTGATCGACTTAAGGTGCAGTGGCAAAAGAGACAGACACTGTAGGATTTTGATGGATTTTGTATCTCCGAACTGGTGGAGTCTTATGGACTTGTTTATGCTGCTTGATAGATCACCCGGGATTGTCCAGATGTTGTTGAGCACTCAGGCCATGCAGAACTCGGAGATTCCTGGCCAGAGAGCTGTTGGGCCTCAAATTTTTTGAATCGCAAGTGTGGCCCAAACGGCTTAACCTCATAAACCTTGGTTTCGAGGTGTCAGGTTGAAACAGTGTAACAGGGACACATCTTTTGCCATCTACTTCCTGTGAGTGAACCCTGGTTGGCTTGTAGCCAACCAGTGCCTTCAAGTGCATCCATGAAAGCACAATTTCCAATTTCTTCAAAGTGGTCCCCTAACAGAGTTTATGTATTTTCTTCCTTAAGTCTACACCAAGGGGAAGTCACCTCATGATTCATTTGAGGCGGCTTTGATGGCTGTCATCACCAAGTCCAAGAGTGCACAGCAGGTCTCTAGCGCCAAGGCGCATTCCTTCACGTTCTTCTGAAGCAACAACCCTGCATCAAAGCAGTTCTGCTGATCCCCAAGAACTTTGCTTGTTCAATCAGCAGTATTTTTTTTCACCTGATTCAACCTTGCAACTGGGGGTACAATCCACCAACACAATCAACACGCATGGATTTTCAATGGAATAGCAGAGTTTTTGGCGCCGACCACCTCCGATCTGACCTTGTCCTGGCCAATGCAGGAGCGCTTAGGAGCCTTGGCCAAAGAGACCCAGGCCACTACGGGAGAGTCGTTTTATGGTTCGTGATGGTAGCTACCGGGGTGCTTGCTGGATGGAAGTTGACTGCATTGACTTGAGATTCAAAAGGCTTGAGTCAGCATGACAATTGTTGCTTCTGTGACCCATCCTTCAGAGTCTAGCCTTACACTGCTTGCGGCCGATTCACGAATGTCGGCTTATCCACTTCCACCGACTGAACAAGTTGTCATTCAAAGAGTGGGTTTCACCCCTAACAGCTAGCCGCGCCCTAGAAAGCCCGGTGCCCTTGGGAGTCTCGAGAATTCCGTCGAAAGCGCTGCTGAGCCAGCCATTCATTTTGGTGTCTTCACCAGGGTCCTCAGGTGCCACGACAGGACCACTGGGTACGACAGCCGCTTTGGATCTTGATCCGCTTCTCGTCAGGACATGAGCTGTGCCATGCTGAATGCCATGGTCCTGGCCATGGATGGTCTGGGAACCTGGGAGGCAAACTTTTCCTTAGAGTCTTTGAGAGTGAAAGCATTATATACCTAGAATCTAGAAGCATTGCTAGCTTGGGGCGGAGAAGAGGTTGAAGAGGCTTGCTTGATTGAGCGGACTCAAGGCTTGGTCAAGGAACTGTTAAGTCGAGGCAAAGAGGAACCATTGATGTCGGCTTGTCAGGATGATACTTATAACTTATAACCCGCTTTTGTCCAGGGAGGATTCTTGTTCTTGGAGACTTGGTTTTCACTTCCGATCGTACAGCAAGGCAGCTGGAATGAGGCGGCGCAGATGACAAAGGTCGAGACCGAGTCGAGAGGTTTCGGTGGTTTTGTTCAGAAGAGACGAGTACGATCAGGCATCCTTGCAGAAACACCGACAAAAACACCTTTAAACAAAAAAAGTATTCTTCTACACTAGGGGCCACTTTTGAGGTGGCTCAAAGGCCGTGAAGGTGGCCCTGAGTCTTGGCATTGAGTCGTTGGGCCTGTCTTTAGCCTGAAGTACACGCTCATGGGCCAGCATCCGCCTGGCAATGTTGCACGCAAGAATGTTTCGACACCGAAATCGATGAAGCATCCGAAGCACCATGCTTTGAATGGCGCCAGGCACATCCAGTTCTGGAAATGCAGGATCTATCTGGGCCGAGCCGATTTGTTGAGTCGTCCGTTTTTTTTCCGTTGCGAGCCACTAAAGGCATACATCGAGCAGCATTTCACCGGTTGAAGCAAGCCCCAAGTTCAATGCTAGGAAGTTGCACTTTCAGGAGTTGCTGAGGTCGCCACCTGTGCATTTCGGTCTCGATCGCCGGGTTGATGGGCATGACCCGTGGCTGGGAGGTGCTGACCATCTTTCTGGCGCTTAGCTGTAACCAAGTGGCCATGGCAGAAAAGCTGCTAAAGGCTCGAAGCGTTTCACGGATGGTGAAGGGGCGATTTTCCTTCTTGGTTCGTGGTGAGCCATGAAATGCCATGAAATGATATGACATGATATGCATCAGGTCAGATTCCGAGCCAGCACAGTGCTGTGGCAGTTTTCCGCACTCGGACGCCAGAAGCAGGGTCTGCAGGGTCTTGTTTAGGTCGATCTTGCCCGCCAGGAGGCATCTGGAAATAATGATGACTCTGTGTGGGCCTGAAAAGACCTGCGACCTGCCTTTAGACCGTGCTGTGTTCTTCAAGTGGTGGTTGGTTGTGTTCTTCAAGTGTGGTGATTGCGGCGGCAGCGCTTTTGCTTGCAGGAGAACAGCATTGTGATATACTAATCAATCATAGGTCATAGGGCATAGAACATTCCCATGAGATCCAATGAAGGGTTGAGCTCATGTCCAAGGTGCAGAAAACAGGATTTGACTTCTGTGAGATTGATTGCAGTGTAATTCATGCTGTTTCTTTTTTCATTTGGTCATACATGCTGGACCTTGGGAGGCCAATCTTTCAGAGCTCAAATCTCCAGGAGTGGTTTCTCTCTATCTTCCCTTCTACCACAACCGTTTAGAGGTCTTATCGGTCCTTTTCAAGCGAGGCGGCCTATCGGCTGGCGGCCGCTGCCGTGAAGCTAGCGACGGGGGACCCCGAGGAAGCGTGCCCTGTGGGTTTAGCGAGCGAGGAAAAACCCTTTGTGGTTCCCTGTTTCCCTGGCGGCATGAATCCAGACCGATGGCCGCGATGACGTTTTTGAGGCGAAGCGCCAATCTGACGCAACGGCTCAGTATTCGGCATGACCTTTTCACCGCCTGAGGTACCTGACTTATTGCGACCTCTGCTCTCAGTTCCCCGCCGTTGAGGGTGATGCCTTTGTCTCAGTGGCACAGTCATAGTTTCAAATCTAGATGAACACGTGGCTCAGCAGCTCAGCAGTCTGGATTTCAAGGTCTTGAATCAACACCCACAACTTTCCCCAAACAATCCACATCCATGAGTAACCTACAACCAGACCCCCAAATTAGCTTCTGACCATGAATCAACAAGGATTCGGGCTCTGGATCCGTCCTGCTGCAGACTGGCAAGGCTGCAGAGAATCACCAGGGAAGAGAAACAAGCTGATATTTCCGGCATAATTACGATTGTCATTTTTGTTTTATAATTTGGAGTCTCGAGTGAAAACAATTGAACCAATTTGGAATCTTGAATTCTTTCGCCTCCATCCAAATCCATCACCAAATCCATCCATAGGATTTCATTCTTAGATTCGGTGATTCGGGCGCCTGTCCTTTGTTTGCTTTCCTGTCCTGCCAACTTGTCCCGCAGGCTTTGGCCAACATGCAGCGGGGTATGTTCTCGGAAGCAGTGGAGGTTGGGTGCCAAGCACCCTGATTGACCGTTCTGACCGAAGCGTTTTTTTCCCAAACAAAACAACGGTCCAAATGGTTTTCCCAAGTTCTGACACTTCTGGCTCTCAATACGATCCGAACCAATGGGTATTCAGGTTTCACGTATCAAATGTATGTCTGCTTTTCTACTGGGGTCTTTTGCCAGTGACGGTGTGCCATGATGTGTCGTTTGAATTTCGGACCATTGATCTCCGGAATAGCAGAAGGACTTTGGGTCTTTGTGGCAGCGTTTTGGCAGGACTTGCAGAGGGCTTTGAGCAGCAACCCCAACGACCCGGATTCCTTGGCCTTGCCAGCGGGTTAAAGCACAGCGGCGTCGGGGAGAAGAGCTGATCGTGCTCCGCCGCGTCAATGCCAGGTGAATATGTGCTGCTGTATGACTCACCTTGGCAAGAAGGCACGGGGTCTGAAGGTTCAACAATTGCTTCTGATGTGGGAGCATGCAAAAAGGATTAAAACGGGGATGCTGACCATTCTGGATGAAATTTACTTGTGCCAGGATGAGTTCCAGCAATACTATTCCAAGCTGGAGCAGGTGGCTCCCACCAACCCGTTTGTGCTGAAAACACAGGCTGGGAAGCAATGCTGGCGTCAAACTGGGATCATCTTAATAAGCAACCTATATTTATATATATATAGAAGCTTGAAGTCATTTGGAGTTTACATCCTGCACCTTTCCATTAGTATGTTTCAGATTTTTCCAGTGTATCTATATATTGCCCAATAGAGAACCTGTAATGTTGAGATCTGAGAAGTCTGGTAAAAAGTAACATTCATTATCGATATTAGATTTGAACAACTGATTTCACCAGGACATTTTTTGATGACCAACTGTATAAACTCGTAAACCATGACATAAAAGAACATGACCACTGGAAAAGAACCATAACTTTGCCGATATCATGTCCATAAGTTCTTTCATAAAATGACTATTTTTCATATGTTTTCATGAACCTTATAAACATTTCTTATGTTCATATTATAGATAGATTGTGACAACGACATTGCTTTTCTAATGATAAAACCAGTTTTTTAGTTTTATGAAAACATGTTGTATGAAAGATGTTATGAATAAGGTAAACATTCAACTATTACGCAATCATAATTTTCCGCGTAGTTGCTTTCAAAACATGTTAATTCATATTAAACAAGATCTTGACGTGATTTGTACCATCTAGTAGGACCTCAACTATAGTGGTGCAGGATTTCATCCACCAACATACCAACTCATGCAAGCTTTGTTTCTTCAAGAACCAATGCACTTGGGAACATCAAACATGTATTCGTTCTCCGAGCCAGGGCATGACCACTGCATTCACGCGCTTCCAGGCTTCATTGCAGGCAAGTTGTTTCAAGAGAAACACGGTGAGTGAAAGGGTTGATGGCAGGCTGTCCTTGATTGGAAGATCGTCTTCTCCAAGCCACACAATCCCACTTCATGTGTTGGGGCTGCTTCGTGTGGTTCCAACACGCCCAAAGAAGAGACTTCGCGACAATTTTCCGAGGACCTCCAAGCATTTCATGTCGTCTTGTGTGAAGAATTAAGGGCCAAACTTATGGATTGCACATTTGATCGTGTGACCGCTCTGCCAGGTGTGAGCCGAGCTTGCAGTGACGTCACAAACCGGTTATTGGGTTCATGGAGCAAAAACCCTTGAAAGATCTGAGCATCAGTGTTCATGGATGGGTATGAATTTCAGGTTTTAAGCTATTTTTGCAGTTGCCAAAAAGTTAGATCCAAAACTTCTGGGCTATCCGTTCGATTCAGTCTAGAGTCTAGCACCAAGATGCGCAAAACAATTGCAAAGCAGAGACCTTTTCAGGTTTTGATCAACACCGTCAGATGTCTCACTAGAATCGAAAAAAGCGGGCGGCATAGTTAGCACCTAAGCAGCCCGGGCGGAGAAAACCACTGCAGCTGTCCGCAGCAGGATGGAACCTATGTCTTAGAGGCAAGCTGGCCTTTGGAACCATCCAATTCTGCTTTACTTGTGCCACTGAAGATCACCGAAGCGGGATCAGATGGCAAATGGTTCAGTCCGGACCCTGGCCCTTGGTATTGAAGTTCTCTACGCTAGCTAGGCGCAGGAAGGCCTTTTGGTATTGGTACCTCAAAACAGAAGGCGGTGCACTCCCCATTGTTGCAATTCACAATCGGGTACAGCACTGAAGCCTGAGCCGTTCTCACTTCACCGCTGTAGCCTGCTTCAACAGCTTGCGAAACAAAGAACGACTCAGGAGGTCAAAAACACATCCAAGTGCTGACAGTCCGCACAGAACACCTCTAGAAGTTCTGGAGCTTGCATCGGACAGAACACATGATGCACCTTCCACCCGTCAACGATATGGACATTTCGGGACATGTTGCAGTGTTCACTTTCTTGGGCTTGACCAGTCTAGATTCTAGATGGTCCTGCATAGGACCGCCAGTGCAGTATCATCTAGAGCCTGGCCTTCACCAAGCCAAAAGGACCTCACACGGTGCGGAAGGTGAATGAAGATGACATATGCTTCGGATGTTCTCAGTGAACCAGGGCGATCCAAACGGATTTTTTGACCAGTCTCGGACACCACGGTGAAACGAGTTGGCCATGGTGCTGCGATGGGTGGCGCTCGGAGGGGCCAGCATCTCAGAGAGTGGACACCCGATGAGATGTTGGACTCCTTCGGAGATGAGATGTTGCTGTAGAGGAGGTTAGGGCTTGAACGTCGCATTGAAGTACCATGAAGAGCAGAGCGGAGCTTGAGGGAACTTCTTTGGTGATTGAAGCAAACTAATCACTTTGCATGCTGTTGCAGACAGACAGCAGGATACTTTTCGGCTTTATTCTGACACTCTGGCAGCAATCGTGGTGCAGAAACCTATTGGGCTGCGGACTTCCTTTGAAGGTTTTGCTTTATCAAAAAGTGGGTTTGTCCCAAGGACTGTACCAGTGCAGGTTTATCAATACGCTGGCTGAAAGAATGACCGACCATTAGTCGATGGAGCCGCCCAGTGGAGCCTTTGGGCCTGGACTGTGTGGACTGTTGATGAAAGAAACCGCCGGCTAAGAAACACCTCTCCAGATCTTGAATCAACAGTCTACATTCATATTCCATCCATCTTCTCCCAGGTCATGCTGAGCCAGGCATGGTCGCCGGGTCGAGCATCGGGTCAGAGGTTCCTACTGTTCGTGACCGCGCGGCCTCCATGGACGTCAAAGCACTCAGGGGGTGGTCGAAACACTTAGTGCCACGGTGACTGGTGGCAAAGAGCTTTGGAAGAGCTTTTTCAGTTGACTGGTGTGCGACCTCCATGTATTGGAAGGCCCGTGCTGCCATCCGAATGCCAGAGGATCGGGCTGTGTTCTCGGTGAGATGTGAGGAAAGCTGGCAACATGAAGGGAACCACAAGTTGGAGAAACGTCAAATAGAGCTAGTGAGTAGTAGATCCTAAAGCAGCGAAGCAGCTCTTCATGATTCTGGTGATTGTGCATGATGCAGAGGAGTTCAATGTTGAGAAGGACTTCGATGTGAAAAACAAGTATCAGAGAGCCAGGGAGGCTCAGATCAGGGCTCCTAGGTGCTCTGGCTTCAGCACCACAGCACCCATTTGAATGTGTCCAGATATAAGTAATGGCACATTTCCTATACAAATATTAAATCCAATCTAACACTTCAAAAGCCTTTGCTCGATGCCTGAAGACTTGTTCACGTGCTTCCAATCTCTGAGGCGCAGAAGTACATCCGCCACTTGGCGTGGGAGTTCGGGTCTGGCTGTGAATAGAAGCGCGAGCTATCTTGCGTCCTAAGTAGTAGCTACTTAAGGTACTAGCTACCGTTTGCTTCTACTAGCTACTTTTAGCTACTACCTCACCTCTTCTCGGGCTACACCCCGGGCAAGAAAACAATCGAAGAAGACTTGCGGATGCGGCTGCTGCAAGAAGACTACACAGAACATGCCTTTTCCAGTGAACGTGTGGCTCAAGTCTGAAGGAATCTGGAGTCTAAAAGAGTCCGAAGATCGGACTGTGGCTCCTTCGGGTGCACCATGCCTCCAGTGGACGATGAGGACAATTTGACCATGTGGAATGCTTTCAGGGGCGCTGTTGACCGAGGTGACTTGGAGGAAGTGAATGAGATGCTTGAGAATGGATGCAATCCCTACCAGAAGGTGAGTGGCGATGGGTCAAATTGGACCGTGCTGATGCTGGCAGCTAATGCCGGGCATGAGGAGTTGGTGCAAAAGTTTAGTAAAGGTGGAAAAGGAGTAAGCGAGAAGGATTCCCATGGATTTCAGGCGATGATGCTTGCCGCTTTGAAGGGCCATACGGGGGTTTGCCGCACTTTGTTGGAAAGGAAAGCTGATTGCAATGCTTGCAATGAACATGGTGAGACCCCCTTGATGATGGCGGCCGCCATGGGCCACAACGATGTCGTCTCGATGCTCTTGGATGCCAATGCCGATGCCAATGCCTGCGACGGAAATGCCATGAGTGCGGTGAAGAAAGCCTCCCGGTGGGGCCATGTGGATTGCCTCAAGACACTTTTGCCCAAGGTGAACCAAGATCCGCGTGAGATGAAACATTGCCTTCTCTTCGGGAAGCTCTATGACCACCCAGAGGTCATGGCAGAGATTCAGAAGGTCTTGGAGCCCCCAGAAGAAGATGTTGAAGTGTCTCAGGCTTGAGACAGTGTCACTACCAGCTGCGTTTCACATCGTTTCACTCTGCAAGCACACCACGAGCTTGAAAAGAGTTCCCACAACATCCAAAGACCTTTGGTTTGGAAGACCTTGTTGCAAGACCTTCGTTGGAAGACCAAGTCATGGCTGTGTGGAACGAACTCCCCGGACTCCTCTCCTCTCAGGATGCGACCTTTGCCAGATGGCCGTGGGGAACACCTTTGACTCGGCAGCTAGGCAGCAATTCTCCGAAGCTTGACTCTCCTCTGTCAACAGCTTTTGTTACACAAACAGCATGAGAAAGCCCTCTTGCACGAGGAATACACATGCCGCTCCGATGTATTTTTTGGCTGAGAAGTTTTCTCATACATGGGCAGTGGGTGGGTCGAGATCGCTGTAGACACTGTAGACCGTGAAAGATTGCTGATTGGTGTGGAATTGGTTGAGAAGAATTCCAAAATGCTCTCGTAATCTGAGAAGGGGAATGTGAATGCCGAGGCGCAAGTTGTTTGATCCCTCCTGTTCGTCTAAGACGTTTCACCGACGTTTCACCGAGTTGTCTCCAGGTGGGGCCCAGCTTTACCGAGGCTGGACCAGATTAGAGTGGAGTGTACCAGCGCTTTCAACACTGGCTTTACCGAGTCGTATAAGTCACATTGAAGTCAGATTTGGCCGGTACAGTTCTCGAATACAAAGCCCCCGCTCCTTTTCCGGTAGACGGACAGAAGGCATCGAGAGCATTTCCAGTTGATCTGCTGGAAGCAAGTCAGATGTTGAGGTCCTACTGGTAAATGCTCAAACGTGATTCGTAGAGCGACAATCCGTTTTGTCATGCTCCAGGATGATGTCTATGACCACATCGAAAAGATCTGTGACGTTTCTGCCTGAGGCGCCAGGAAATCCAAGTCTCACAATTCCCTCCCTTGACTATTCACAAAGGCACTCCTCAGCACAACTACACGTTGCAGCATTGAGATTGGTGGTTGTCCTAGTGCAACAAAAACATACCTCAACTTCAACGGGGAAGACGGAAAAGACCTGCTCCTCTCCATTTAGTGGAGTCGTTTCATTGGGAGTCCGTTAAACATATCCAGATGAGACTGGAGTTCATCCCGACGGGACCCGGCTGAGATTGATGACCTCTACACCAAACGGGAGTTGATAGAGGTGCGCTTGGGGGAGGATTGGGGGTGGATCAAGTAATGACGCGTGGGTCGGAATTTTGGAGCCACATCCATATGCTGCACTGATATTCTGAGAAACCTACAAGGGTTCCATCCAGCCAGCCTCTACAATGCATGTCGAAGCGGACAATTCTTCAAATGGGGTCGAACGGACACCCTAAGGAGAGTGTCAAGTGTAGAGTGTCAAGTGTCAAGTGTGCTGCAGAACTTGAAGAGAAGTTTAGTTGGGGCACAGCGCCTTCCTTTAACATCCATACCCAGCGGCTTGGCAGGGGTATATGTATATAGATATACATGTATGTATGAATGTATATGTGTATGTATATGTATATATATGTATATAAATGTATATATGTATATATATGTATATATATATGTATATATTATACATGTATATATATGTATATGTATATGTATATATGTATATAGGTATATAATGGTATATAGATATATAGGTATACATGTATGTATGAATGTATATGTATATGTATATGTAATGTATATGTATATGTATATGTGTATGTGTATGTGTATGTATATGCATATGCATATGCATATGCATATTTATTTTTGGCACGTTTCTTTTCCAGTGCAACCAGGTGCTCAGGCGAACATCCTTCTCAGGTCCTGTGACCTGGAAGGGCAGGGCTCTTTGAGCCTCTTGTTGAGAAGTACCTTCTCCTGGACGATCTTGTTGCGGGCACCACACCTCGAACACTCGGCTGCATTGCCTTGTCGCTGCATGGTGTGCGAACTGTGCCCATCCCACATCGAGGGCGGAAGCGGTCCGCTGTTGCAGACCTGTCCAACAAACTCCTCAAAGGTCTGTTCATTCGACCTTGCTAAAATGTAACTTTTGCAAAGGTCGCAGCGTAAGTACGCTTTGTCTAAGCGCAAAAAGTGCACTCCTGTCTGGGGCTTGTCCTGGCTGTCGATGAGCTGCTTGATCACCTCCATTCGGGGAGTTCTGGTGATCTTCTGCTGGGTCGGATTTTGGCAGTCCGAGCCCATGGCCGTCTTGATCTCTTGGATCATGCTCTTGGAGTGAATCCTGGTTTTGCATCGGCAGCAAATGGCCCCTGAGCGATGGACCTCCCATTGGTGCCCTCCTCGATCGGGATCTCTAAGCAAAGCAGCAATCAGCTCCTTTTTTTGTTGAAGGAGCGGTGTTTTGAGCTCTTGTGTGATTTGGGTGGGCTACCCGGTCGACTCGCTCTGCAGCAACCGTCAGGATGTCCGCAAGGTCCTCATCAATGGCCTTTTGGTACGACAGGAAGTCCTTAGGAGCTTCAGCTTTTGCCCGCTCTTGTGCAATGCGCTTGATGGATTTCTGGAGTTGCTTTCTTGTCTTCATGCCCTCCTCCTGCTGCAAGTGGGAGAGGAACAACAACGGCCGAACTTGATCAAAGTCCTCGAACTCCAGTCCATGGTAGAGGTCAGGGAACCGTTCCAAAGCCACATGAGGTGTCCATGCTTTCCAGACTTGAAGGTTGGAAATACCCACATGAGCGGAGTCCAGTAAATGCAATGCAAGTTGCTTGAGGGCAAAGAACGTGGCTCTGGTTCTGGTGGCTTCGCCAGGGCAGATGCCGGAGATGGATGCAATGCATTCTTTGGTGGCAATCTCAAAGATCCCGATGGCAAAGATGTACTGCTGATGGCGAATGTCCGCACAAGTGGCCGCAATGTCAAGGCAGCATGCATGGCCGTGATCGATGTGGCATGGTTGCAAACTTTGCCACTTGCCGGTGCCAATGAAGGTGGAAGGTCCTCCATGACGCTCCCGAAAAGGAAGCTGAGAGAGACCTCTGTTCCAAATCTCAGGCCCAATGTTCTGGCTGATGCGATCTTTCCATTCGTCCGGAATGTCTTTGACACGACCCTGCCAGTACGAACATTCCCAAATGAGATGAACCGTGGAGAGCTCGACGCCGCAATGGACATTGACCCTTGAAGCCATGAAGTGTACCTTGATGGAAAGCTCTCAAAGCACAAGCAAGTCGGCCACTTGTGGTGCGCTGCATTTTGTGGCTCATGGTCCAATCCAAGGGTTGTTCCAAGTGTTCACAGCCATTGTACTTGGTCAACCGAATGAGACGTTGCCATTTGAACTCCTGTTGCAACAACATTGCCAGCTCAGGCCATAGCATCTCCATGGAGAGATTGCAGTCCGGAATAGACCCATACCCGACTCTTTGCCACTGACGGCCATCCTGAATGTCAAATCCAAGATCCAACAAGTAGGCTTGCAAAGCTTGGAGTGTGGGCCTGTGACCACCTGCCATGGATACTTGGCCTTCATCAGAGGCGCAAGGGCAAGGTTCCAGCTGGAGTTGAAGAGGTGTCGTTTGCTGTCATCAAAGCTGTGATACAGCTTCCAGATGGTGTGGACACGCTGAAGGATGATGACGTCCCCTGGATCCGGATGCTTCTTGTTCATGTCGAACACAATGTCCACCGATCCTGACTTCTGAAGTTTGAGGGCTCTTGCAGCCATCGCCCTGAGTTGATGACGGCGTTGTGGAGCTAGCCCGTTTGCCTGGGCCCCCCAGGTCATTACCGGATGGATCGCCCCGCGATGAAGCCTGTATCTCACGGATGTGTTCAGCTTGAGTCGGTGCATGATGCCAGCTCTGGCCCTTCCTTTGGTGAACCTCTTTCTGACCTGGGGCACCCTTCTTCTTTTCGCTGCTGTGGCGTCGATGTCGAGGTCTCTGAAGACGTCGTGGTGCTCAGGATCACCTGGTTGAAGTATAGCCTTCAAAGCGGTGGTTGTCTCCTTGGAGCTTGTGATGAATCCGGTCTTCTCGCTGTTGAGCTTGAGACCAGCTTCAGTGAGAGCCGAATGCAGGCATCTGTACGACTGCAAAGCTTCTTGAGCCACATAGATAGGATCTCTGCCACGAACATCAAAGGACACATCATCCACCAAGTTTGGAGAAGTGCTGCTGGATGTTGCCGTTGGAGTGCAAGAAGGGGCTTGTAAAGCACAAGCTTGGCTATAGCAGGAGCTTGTGGACAACCTTGTAAGATGCCCTTGCGGTAGTGTTGGATCAGTGGCTATGCCTTCCGCTTGGATGACACGTGGGCCTCGGTACAGGGCGATGGCCATCTTCAGGTGGAGTGGAGGATACTCAAGCTCCCTTGCAGGCTGGATGAGCTTGTCAAGATCAACCGTGTCATAAAAGCAGCTGAGGTCAGCCAAGCAAGTGACGGTGTGGACGTCACTGTGTTTGCAAAGCTCTGACTGAAGCATCCTTCCAACTGCTATCGAGAGACAGTCCTTTTTGGGTTTTGCATGGTCCCAAGGCATGGCTGTGTCGAGTGAAAGCTGCCACTTGACGATGTCTTGTTTGCGGACTCGGTTCCACAGTCTGTAAAGGCATGACATCAGGGCTATTGGCCTTTCCACTTTGAGGCTCTTTGGTATCATCACTATGTTGACCATCCTCAATTGCGTTGGGAGGAGAGCTTCTTGTTCCATTTGATTGAACAAGTTGGCCAATTGGGCTATCGCCTCAAAGGGGAGCTGTTTGAGGAAGTCGTAGGAGACTCCGTCAGGTCCAGAGGCCTTGTGCGGCAGTTTCTTGATCACCCTTTGAAGGCTGAGCGGATTGATGGGTTGCAGAGTGCGAGCCTGTTCAATGGCGTCCTCTCGCAACTCTCGGAAGCCGTGGATGTGGCATGGTTCGTCAACCGGGATCCAGATGGCTCCCCATTGGGCTTGTCTGGCTTGGAGACGTTCTTGAAGAGGTAGATCTTGGAAAGGTCGCTGCCATGGGATGTCTTTCTGTCGTAGGCTTCGGAAAAGTCCTCTGAGGCCCTTGGAGTGCGCTTGAGCTAGCCAGGTTTTGTACTCTTCAGAGTTGACGAGGGCCAACCC